TTAAGCTTTTCATTATGTAATTATAAAAATAAACTAACAGAGCCCACATGCACTAAATGTCTCGGTTCTTGTTCCTGTAAACTTTCACTTTCGATCATAATTTGAACAATTAAACATAAATATTATACTTAATACTTTTCTTTTCCGAATCCTTTAAAAACAAAGAAGTAAAAAAGAACAACACTGTAGGATTAAATATTGGCGAATGTTATACCAATAACGTAATTGAAGAAATATAAACACAACTCTACTATAACTCTGGATAGTTGAGAGTGAGTATATATGCTTTAAATATATTAACCAGGTTGGAGCCTTTAAAACCTCTTTGAATGTTTTTGAAAAAGCTAAAAAAAACCATCCTTCTGGTTATTACTCTTGCATAATTCGCAAGTTGATTGACCCAATAAAAGCACTTTTACTAATTTAGCTGGGAAGAAATTAAGCACTATAGTTCCCATACATCTATCTTTTCAAAAATCTTTTAGGTCCATCCCATTAAGGGTTTACTGTCCGATCTAAAGAGGGGGTTTCGGGGGGGAAGAGGCTATCTTGGGGGGGTTTAAACTGTACGTAATATGTTTGTTTAGCTGGCTAACTGTCTCACTGTCTATTTTTCTAAATGTCTATCCGTCTAGAGCTGTCAGGAGTTAAATGTCTGTCTGTCTGTCTAGGGCTTAAACATTTTGATGTCCAGATTCAGTTTATTTGCACTATGCAGTGCTAAACCGTCAACCCATATTATGCCCAATATATCTTCCAATTCTTGACATTGACTTATTAGGAACAGTTTAAACCTATTTTGATATACTACAAAGGTTGCAAAGATATAGACATTATAAACTGAATCATTACCCAGTTCCTTTGTTTACTTTCGTTTCTCAAAAATATTTTTTTTCTTTTCTTTTTCTGTTTTTAATGTTTATTCTGAGGTCAAAGGGAATGTGGCTCATAGTCAAACTACAAATGTGTGTATCTATATATAAATTTGGCTTGTCTGTTTGTTTGTCTGTTTGTTTGTATCCAATAAACGTCAAAACGGCTGAACCGAACGGGCCCAAATTTTTTGTGGGACATCTAGGGACCACAGGAAAGGTTTATGAATGATCAAAATTTCAAATATTTGTCTCCATCAAAATTCGATCTTCATTAAATTTTAGAAAATTTTGAAAATCCACGAATTTTTTTGTGAAAATCCGCGAATTATTTTTGTTTTGTTTTACGATGTACACAAAGAGAACATGTTCACAATTAATTTAGAAGAGTGGCGCGAAGCGCCCTCTAAGGCTAGTAAAGTATATTCTGAAAACAGAAGAATTTTTTTTTGGTTCAAATAAAGGGAAATCGAGATTTTCGTTAAAAATTAGTGTCATTTATCACAAAAACTTTGCCTTCATTTATAGCTATAAATGTATTGCATCAAATCTTTCCTAGGACTGATTTTAATGTATACAAACATTGCAATTTATTCCTAAGCTATGTATTGAGATAATCATCGTCTTGGTTTTTTAAAAAACTTTTAATATAACATCCAGTATTTCAAAACTGTAATCTGTTAAAGTTTGTTTCTTGAATCTTCGCAATATTTTATCCTGAAAGAAATATATTGGAAAAACGAACCAAAAAAAAAACTATTGTTCTTGTTTTGTTTCTTTTTCAGATATTTTCTCTCTGCAAAGTAACATTTGGCATAGTGGTAGAAAACAAATGTTTAGAATAAAGAATTTTGTGAAACTTCTCATATTTGTGTGTCCCAAACCCTGAAAATCTAACCGAAAACGAACTATATTACGATAAACAGATACAGGTATCCTATACAGTATACACTCATAATTTATGACAGTCTATAGTGTTGTTTTATCATAACAAGCTGAAAATGCAATGAAAAGTTGACAACCTTTAAAATTAAAACTTGTTAAACAGCATGGCATTTTGAATTATAGGCACTAGGAGAATTCACATGGATTCAGACTGATTTGAAAACTTTCAAGACTGCAGTGTCGACTTTTTAAACTTTCAAAGTGTTCAAACACTTTCGTTTTAACGCACTAGTCTGCTTATAATACTTTTTTGTATACTAGAAAACTATATCTGTATATATAAAGTTGTAATCTCTGTTAGTTTGTTTGTTTGTCCGATCATAACTCAGGCACCCCTGTATCAATTTGCCTCAAATTTTGATTGGTGAACTCGGGAGAGAGTTAAGAAGCGAGCACACCAGAAATTTCCAATATTATAACGGTAAAGAAATTTTGTGGAAAAGTCGTCTTCTGTTTAATCTTAGGCAAAGAAATAATTTAGCATAGATTAATGTATTAATCTTACTCTTCAATAGGGGGATTTAGTTTCAAAAATATCCACCATTAAAGAAAAAATATAACAGGAAAGTTTCGTTAAAAATGCTCATTATTAAAGGCAAGAATTTTTGGAGGATTTTGAAAAGGCGGACTAAAGAAATACATTGGTGAAAATAGAACTGGGGAATATAGAAACGACTTTTAGGCTCAATTTTTAGCAGAGTCTTTGATCTACCTCATCTCTATAACTTCCCTCTGGTGCATGTTCAGGAATTTTTTAAGGGAGATGGTAACTAAATTTGTTTTCTTAGAACCGTTTGGGCCTGAAAACCGTAGATTTTACCGATCCAGGTGGGGGGCTTGGGCTTAGCCCCCCTCTGTGTACACCTCTGGGCATATCTAACTAGGATAGAATAGAATACATGTATGTGTGGTCTGTGTCTCTGTAGATATTCAATATCAACCCCAACACCGCCCCCTTCTTCTTCTCTTAGAAAAACAAACATACAAATTCAGCATGCTCGTCGCCTCTAACCCTCTCATGAAAGTCTGACTCATATAATGTAAGTAAGTAAGTACAAAGTCAGTTAGTAATTTATTTATGTATTATACCAAAAATATACATAACTAAAGATGGTAATTCAGTTATTGCATGCAAAATTGGCTGTGTTAAATTCAAATCGTTTTTTTTTCTTGTGTTTTTAAAAAAAAATTTATACTTTCAACAACTGTAAAATTAACGATATGACTATGAGTCAATCAATTCTTTTCATGTGTTCGCGCGGAGCGTCAAAGAAAATTTGTTTAGTACCTCATTTAATTACAGATATAATTACAAGAAATAATCATTTATATATTCTGAAAAAAAAAAAAACATCAAAATACATATATAATTTGAATCATCTAGTTCATTGGAAAAGGATAATGTTACGCTTTCTCCTGAAGTTATTGAATTCATGATTGATCATTCTAACCATGATATTCATAATCTTATTTCATTTTCGATTTTATAGAAGTTCTGTTAAAGAAGATAAACAGGTTACAATAATCAAATATGATAATCAGTTAGAAGTTTGCCAGATTCAGTCTCAGAATGTTCTCTAGATTTGGAACTGAGTTTTTGCCGCCATCAAACTCAAATATTCTAATCCCTAAATCTTTGCACCGAGTGCAGTAAACCTTTGATATTTCAAACTTAGAATATTTTAGCAAAATAATTCAAAGTTTGAATACAGTTCGGAACTTTTTTACATTAAATGTTTACTTAATTTTATAGCCTTGAGAATTCAGAAACATAAATTTTTTTTTTTAAAACTAATTAACCATAGAAGAATACAATTTAGCTACAGTAACTCTTTTGGTTTTATGATTTTGTGATTATGATATTCGCCAATCTTTTTGTTCATTCTGCAGGGGGGGGGGCGCCCCCACCTCTCAGTTGCTAGGGGAGGCCGCGCGCCCGGCCGCCCCCCTTGTGCGCCTCTGCCCTCCAACAGCTTGCTCCCCCTTAATTTTCCCAACCCTTTGAACTTCACTTGATTAAATAATACTCTCTTTAACTCTGGGTCAAACATCAATTAAACTCAGACGATTTTAAATAAACCCTGATAATAATGGTCTATATGAAAGAATTTGAGAAATTATCATAAAATGGACAAATTATCATTTGATAAGACAGGAACAAAATGTAAGTTTAATATATTTGGCCTCTTGGAGGGGGGGGGGGTACACAGAATTGTCGCCCCCCTCAGTACGCCTTTGGCCTCCTCCTGTGACATGTCGGATAAATTTTTTTTTAAATATTGTTTTTTAAACGACGACATTTTTACCGTTCGTAATTTCTTTTTAAATGTTCAATTTTGGACTCGAATTTGAAAATCTTAAATAAATTTAGGTTAAAATCACTTTTTAAGTTTCTATGCTTTAAATATGTATAAATTTTTTAATTTTTCTGTCAATTTTCGTTTATTTGATCAAAATTCCTTTGAAACAAGAATTCTTTATATTTTATTTGAGTCCAGACAGCGCAATATCAGCTGGCGTCATTGTGTACATCTGATTACAGACTTGAGTACACTTTTATCACAAACATAAACGAGTTTCTGAACAATTTCTGAAAATATAGTTTGAAAAAAAGTGATTTTTTTTTAACATTTTAGGAAATGAATTATTTGATTTTTCTATTAAAATTTAAAAGAAATTTTCAAATCTTACCATTTTTGGTAATTTCCTACCAAAAATCTATCTCTGGGACAGACCCCCTCATTCTCGTTGTTACTAGTTGACTTGTAATCTATATTAATCAAAGGGTGTAAACTCATTCGAGTTGTTGCTAGCAGACTTGTTATCTACATTCTACACTAATCAGAGGGTGTAAACTCAATCTTGTTTTTTCTAGTAGACCTGATCATTTAAACAATTTTGATTTATTTCATTCTTGTTTTTTCTTGTAGACATGTCATCTACATTGATTATATTATAGATATTCTCAAATCATCTGGAACTTGAAGGAACTGTAGGACAGAAACTACATTTTTTATGGAGGGGTAGGGGGCAAAAATCCTTCTCTAGCGAATTACTGGATTCGGCCCTAGTCCTCCTAATTTTTATGCATTTTGCATGCCTTCGTTTGGAGGTGTAGACTCCTCAACTGCTCTTTCCTAATATATACAAATCAAGTTTAAATTAAAATATCTCATATTTCAGAAATAAATCCAATGTTGGTGAATAGAAACGTATTTAAAAGCGAACCCTTTTACAATAAGCTTGAGACTGGAGAAGGTTTGAAGGTTAACTTCATCTCAATGAACTGACAAAGATGGTTTATTGATTGATCGATGAAAGAAGTGTTCCGAAGATGCTTAAAACAGTGTTCCTATTTTTTCTCATCCTAGATCCTACTATCTCCACACCTAGAGAAGGTACTATCCTAAATTCTACCATCTCCACACCTAGAGAAGGTATTATCATAGATTCTACATCTCCAGACCTAGAGAAGGTATTATCCTAGATCCTACCATCTCCACACAGGTATTATCCTAGATTCTACCATCTCCACACCTAGAGAAGGTATTATCATAGATTCTACATCTCCAGACCTAGAGAAGGTATTATCCTAGATCCTACCATCTCCACACCTAGAGAAGGTATTATCCTAGATTCTTCCATCTCCGCACCTAGAGAAGGTATTATCCTAGATTCTACCATCTCCAGAACTAGAGAAGGTATTATCTTAGATCCTACCATCTCCACACCTAGAGAAGGTATTATCCTAGATTCTTCCATCTCCACACCTAGAGAGAAGGTATTATCATAGATTCTACATCTCCAGACCTAGAGAAGGTATTATCTTAGATCCTACCATCTCTACACCTAGAGAAGGTATTATCCTAGATTCTTCCATCTCCGCACCTAGAGAAGGTATTATCCTAGATTCTACCATCTCCAGACCTAGAGAAGGTATTATCTTAGATCCTACCATCTCCACACCTAGAGAAGGTATTATCCTAGATTCTACCATCTATGAGCGGGGAATAATTAACTACAAAAAAAATTCATGAATATAACTGACACAAATATAACTACAAAAAAAAATTAAATAAATGGTATTCTATCTGTCTCAATTCTTACCATTTTCAGTTAAATACTAGAAAAAAAGTTTTGGTCAAAAATGTCAACTTTTCAAAATTTTTATTTTCCAAATTATAACTATGCTTAATTAAACGATAACCATTTTTTTCAAAATTATAATTTTTTTTATCAAGAATACAACTTTTTAATAGCAAAGTTACCTTTTTTTAACAGAAAATGTTCGATCAAAGAATTCAGCTGAACGATCTTCTCCTTCAAGTGCACATTAAGGGAACAAGAAAAAAAATTAATTAAATGAATATTTTCTGTAAAAAATTGTAGCATTTATAGTTTAAATAAAGGTAAAGGTAAAGTCTTGAAAATGAGTATACTTTAGATTAAAAAAAATTATATATTTGGCCTTAAATTTTTAATTCTTTGGATAAAAACAATATATTAAGATATTTTCCAATCCTGAATCCGCTACTTTTCTCACTACCTTGTCATTGTAAAACACGGAACTTATTTTGTTAAATTACAATTGAATATTTGATTTATAAACGTGATTCCGACATATTTAGAACATTTTAAATATTAACAATCTTAATTTAATTTTTAATTAGTTTACTAACATTCTAAAAGTATTTGTATCTGAAAACATAATTTTCAGTTAAATATAAATATCTGAAATGGAAATATGTTTAGAATTTTCTAATTTTCAAATTTTGTTTTTATGGATTTGGAATAACAATTCCATCTTGTTTACATCCCTTGGATCCCTAGTCATGTTACTACGCAAAAAAATACTGAAAATTTGAAATCTAATGTTTTAATTATAGAAAAACATGAATGGATATATTCAGTCCAAAATAAAGTTCAAATAAATCACAAAGTCAATGGGAGGAAAACCGTCATTACGAATATTCTTTTTTTGAAGTAAAAACATTGAGTTATTTTTTAAGGAGAAAAGATATAGAAAATATTAAAGTCAACATTTTTGTAAAATATTAAAAGAATAAAAAAGCAACAAGACTTATCCAAAATATTTTCTTGCAGGTTATCATTCATGAAAAATCAAAAAAAAATTGTGAATGAATTTCAATCTTTTTGTCTTAAAAGTTTGATCATCTACGTCACTTAACGCCCTTTCTTTCTTTTGATTATTATCCCTGCAGGGGTAAAAATGTTCTTGAAACTTCAATTCCCCCTTATTTTAAAATTTTTTAATTTGGTTTTGTTTTTTAAGTTTTAATTGCTTAATTTGCCAAAGTAAATTATTTTAGGGCAAAATAAAAGAAATTTTTGATAGCTATATCGAAAAAGGGTCAAAATCTTTTTCTCGGAGCTTCGAAAATTATACCCTTAACCCCCCTCTGAGGTTGGGGGTTGATACTTTTGGCAATATTTCCCCCTGATTGAGAGTCCTTGAATTTAACGGTTTAAATTTCCTGAATTATATTCTTCGTAAACGAGAGATCATTTATTTTCAACTAGTTTTCAGACTTTCTCTGTTCAACCCACGCGAAATATCATTTTCCAATCTAGAAACTTTCTTAGAATTTTAATTTTTATTTGATTTTCCCAAACAATAAATTTGATTCATTTAGGGGCATTAGGGCATATAATTGAAGGATTTTTATTGTTGTATTTAATTGAAAATAATCGCTGAGAAATATTAGATTTCAAAATGATAGTTTTTACCATAAATTTACATTTATTTTTAGTTCATAAAAGAACTGAAGAGGGGAACATTATCTCTATAAAACGCCCCCAACCTCCCATCCCCCCAGCTGTAATAGTCTCTCAGTTAATTAAGAATTCCTTTTCTACTGCATTGGTTTCAAAATAATCAATGTTAAATTTTGAAAAGGAATTGAGTCTTTGCCACAAACTCGGATTTTTAAATGTCGTAGACCGTAGATATTTCAACTATGAATTCTGGTGGATAAAACAATGTAAGTTTGAAATATGAAAGGTATGCATCATCTGGTTGTTGAGATAAAGGCGGCGGTCTGGGGGGTTCATAACGGGACCTCTTTTTCAGATTCCTTTTCTAATAGTTCTAATAAAATTGGGATTTGTGGCAAAAACTCAATTCCTTTAAACTTTAATTGTTTTCAGAGAGTGTAGACGAGAAGTTTTCCTCTGCAATTCTACCAGAATCCTACCATCTTCCAAACAGCTATACCAGTACAGAAACAGGTACGGGGGTGTATATTTTCTTGAAAAATAATTTCCTCTCCCCCTCTTTTGAAAAAAGTGTTTTCCCCTAGAAATTAGTTATCATATAATTCGCTGAATTGGAGAAAAAAAATGATTTTTAGAGAGAAAAAATGCGTTTTTAAGTTATAGCATGAAGAAGGATGAAAAAACCTGCTTTGGAAGTCCAATTATCAATTTTTCCCTCAGATCTTAGATTCTTAATACAGTAGAATTTACAAGTTTACTTCAGTTACATATCTCACACAATTCACATTTCTACATTTGCTCATGTTAAACTTTAGATTTACGTAAAATATGATTTTTAGATTCTACGAAGCAGCGGCGCCCTGTGATCAGTAAAGGTCTTCTTGAAGATTTGAGACTAGCGCAATATGACTTCAGGAAAGTGCTTGACAATACTCTAATGGTGTGCTTGCTAAAGCAGTTTCAATTCTGAAAATACTTTATTGAGTTTGTATGGATATAAGAGTTATCGTTGGGGATCTAAATAATCCCCCCCCCCCACACTAAATTAATAATTTTTGTAAATAAGGGTAAAGATGAATAAATTTCACGAAGAGAAGTGTCAAGGAAGACATATTTCTCATAAATTCCCAAAATTTTTACAAATACAAGTTTTCTTTGATTTGAAAAAATTTCACATATTATGGATTGTAAATTTTTCTTGACTCATTTCCCTACAGCTTCTATTTTTTTCAAGTAAATTTCGAAGAAAAATGAAAAATAGTAATTGTAAAATAAACCAGGGAATAGTGTTCTAAAATGACTCATTTTATACGGGGTCTTTTAAGTACCGTTTCTCACCTACCTCTGGTTTTGCTCGGTCTTTGTTCCACTCCAAGGGAAGAAACAGGTTTTTCAGTCTCAGAATCTGCTCTAACTATATCTGGAGAACTCCTGGTCCTGAGTTGCCTAGTTCTCAATTCATCAGCAAGATGGAAAAAGTTAAAACAGGTTTTTCTGTTCCTGTGCCCCATCATGTTCAACATTCACCCTCGACTGAGCTTCCTGCTTCTCTCATGAATTCACGATTTGTTTTTGTTTGTGAGGATGCCAGCAAACCTTCCATTGCTCCTCTATACTTAGTTGTGGAACAGCGGAGAAAATTGGAACCAGGATAGACTCCGTCTCAGTAGGTCTCAGTAGACCGCCTGAAACCTGTTTTCCTCGACTCTCCAGTAGCTCCAGCTGCACCTCCGCTCCGAGGACGTCCAGCTCTCCGCAGGAAACCCCTGGAACCAAAATCTCCGCTGTGGAATGTTCCTTTTCCAAGAAAAAGAAAAGCCTGAAGTAATCCTTAGACTGAATCTTTACCGACAGGCTAGAGAAAGAAGATCCGCCGTACCTTATAGAATTGTGGCGGAAGATTTCAAGCTAGGCGGAAATCCGGATGCGACAAAGAAATTCAAGTTGAAGGCCACGTCATCATACATAGATTTTCAACGAGTAAAATGATATTTTAGTTTTTTTCTTTACTACAACTTCGTCGTTATTGAGCGTAGCCAAAACAGTTTATTTACTAGAAAACTTTTGAATTAATTTCGAGAAAACTTTGAAATAGTTTCTTGTAAGAGTAATCCAATCTTCCAAATAATCCATGAAAGCCTTTTAACGGTCAAATGAGCATGATTGATAATCTTAATCTGAATTTTATAAACAATAAACTTATTCAGTTGATCGGGTTCAAAAGAGTTTAATTTTGTCTTTTTTAATTTCGTCCTAATATGAGAAAATTTATTTTTACTTTTAAAAGAATAAACAGAAACATAAAAAAATGACACTGCGACACGAGATTATTTAAATTTTTTGATGTAACCTTTAAAATCAAAATATAAATGACCCCCCCCCCCCCGGGGAGGTCCTAGGACTAATATTTTAACCCCAACCCCTCTAGGAGGTTCTAGGACTAATTACTACTGCCCACCCCTTTCTTGGCGGTTTTAGGGCCAAGTTTTTATCGCCCCCCCCCCCCTTTCTAGGAATATATTTGATAATTTTGTTCCAAATAGACCAGAAAACTAGGTTTCATGACGCTAACCCTTCTCCAAACTAGAGTTACAATTAGAGTATTAATATATAGTTCATAGAAAACCTTACGAAACTCAAACCCAGACTTTATAAAGTTTCCGTGAACTAGGTGCGTTGAAAAAGTTTAAGGAACGATTATTCACTAAAAATATTTATCTGCTTACAATTTTAATTAATGAGATAACTTCCAAAAGTTATTTATTACACTTACTTATGCAATCTTAGCTTTAATAAGGTTTCGTGGGACATTTCCATCACAATATTAATATAAAAAAGATTGAAAATCCTAATTCTAAACCGAGATCAAGTGTTGTGAACAGTGAGGAGAACCAAAGGGAGGAGGACGAGGAGGAGGAAGAGGAGTTTGATGATTTCTTCGGAGATATTGGGAGAAAGAAACTAAATGCTCTACCTACCCCGGAGAATATGATCTCACAGGAAAGGTAACAATAATTTCTTCATCTAGACTCGGAGCAGTTTTTCTTTTATTTTTGATTATATCATTATTGTTCGGTAACTGTTCATTTTTATTACTTGCTGAATTCTTAACCTAAACAGGCTGGGGGGGGGGGGACCTGTTTTTTTTTATCCTAGCACTCTTATTTTTGACACTATCACCGTGAAATTTTTTGACTTTTAATGAATAGAAATTCAAAGGATTTTTTGCAAGTTTTTTTATGCATAGGGTAGGGTAAAAAGTCCGGTCTGTGTAAAAAATAATCTAAAATTGCCCATATCTTTTTTATGACTAAAGCTACAGATCTATAAACTATATTTTTGAAAAGCTCTTTAAAAAGGGATGTAGAAACTTGTGTCACACTTTGATATTTGTTTTAATTAAAAAAAAATATTTTTTACCTTTTTCCCCCTTTTTTCCCCTTTTTTTTCAACCCTCCCTTTCACATATAAACTATTGTTTATTTTTGGATAGAAACATTTAAATATAGATATTTTAGTATTTGCCATCGAAAGTACAACACTTGAATCAGAATTGTGAAGTTTTCCTGAAATAGACTAATATCAATACATTTAATGTTCAATACAATACTATTTTATGATAAATAAAACGACATTTTACCGTAAAAAGAAGAATAACAACAAAAATCATAAACTGTCATTTTTTTGTTTTCTAGCAATCATAAAAAATTGGAAAATAACTTTTTCTGCCCTGCAATGCACTTCGCATTTCCAGATACCCCTAAATTCATTGAGTATCATCTCCAATTCACAACGATACCCTTTAAATCTTGGTCTGAGCAAAAATAAATGAGATGTCTTTGCTGTTCTCACCGAAAATTGTTTAAGTGACTTGTGGATTAAAGAATACACCCCTGAGGGGGGGGCATCCATTTAAAAATATATATTCCGCAGCTTTTAAAAGTATTGTCACATACATAAATGTATGCCTAGGTTCTCCTGTGTATCCTGTGAGGCTCCAGACTGTGATGAAGAGGATATATGCGAGAATGCCGTGGTTTGTTATACTGCGCATGTACGGGATGTGGACGGAGAAGAGATGAAGTCAAAGGGTTGCTCACCTACCCACTCTCATGTATGAACGAGCCTGATCAATATTCAAATAATTAAAGATTTAGAATTTTAAGGGACTGTTGGTGTAATTTTAAGTGACACTTTATAAAAAGAATGGCAGGCCCGATTTACAAAGGCGCCCTTAAACCTTAATTATGGAACAGAATCAAATTATAAAAAGAGTAACATGGAGAGCTCCTTCACTTATGATAAGACAAAGTATCAAGGGTACCGTAGGGAATCAAACATGCATCTTAATATAGTGAGGGTCAGCAGATATTACGTTAGCAGTCCCTTTAAAGGGACAGTAAAGGAAAAATGAAAGGGTATATAGGCTGAAAGCTAATCACTTTAGCTCTTGATCGCGACCCATGAAAGTCATATCTGATGTTTCTGTCTCGAGAAATTGATATAAAACTGTGTCAAATATAAACGAAAATTAATATATATACAATTTTGTATAAAAGTAGTAGGTTTAAACAGATCATATTCAGCAAATAAGCAACCAATCTGAAAACGATGATATCCCACAGAAAGCTAATTGTAAATTAGGTTTACTTTTATATTTGTTATTTCTATTTTCAATAGATTTCATTCATAATATTATTTTTACGTCTGTATTACTTGACCAGAAATTCCACCAATGACAGTGCAGTAAAGTGGTCACGTGATACAGGCGGAGACACGTGACCAGTATACTGCTCAGCCATTGGTGATAGTTTTGGTCACGTGTTTTAAGTTTCAGATTTTCAAAATTTTACATATATGAATTTTCGTATAATTTTAACACAGTTTTATATCAATTTCTCGAGACAGGAAAATCAGATAAAACTTTCATGGGTCGCGATCAAGAGCTAAAGTGATTAGCTTTCAGTCTATACCCCCTTTCATTTTTCCTTTACTGTCCCTTTGAACCAGAAAAAAACAAATATTTTTTTTTGCGTTGCCACTTTAAAATAAAAATAATTGCTTGTTGTACAGGCTCTCTTAACCTGCAGTACGGAAAGATATGACGGAAGACATGTACAAAAAAAGCATGGAATATCTGCTCAGTACGCTGTAGATTGTTGTCAAGGTAGTATCATCATTATTATTGGTGCATCATTATTTTTAGTATCCTTTCCGGTATTTTTCTAAGAGTCTACTGTACAGACTCATAAAGGTTTATTCATTATTTCGTTTTCCGTCTGACATATTCTTCAAATAGAATATAAAAATACTTTAATTATCGTCATTTGCTGTTATTTTGATATTTAGAAAGCTTGTCTGTTAGTTATTATAATTCTTCAAATGTGTTTTATTTTATATTATTGTCTTCAAACCGACATAATTTATGCTATAAGATTTTCCAATTCAAAGCCTTTAAAATCATTTCTCAGGGTGGGGGGTATAATTAAAAATATCTACCCCGATTATTTTTCAATATCTATTTATTTAGGTTCCATGTGCAACAATGCAACAGATTGGCCTGCACTGCCTGACGTACCAACTGTTGAGAAGGAACCTGTTCCTGTCTCTACAGAGCAGAACAGTCATATAATCAAACTGCTTCTAGCTGTTATATGCCCTGTAGCCATTCTAGGTAAAAATTTTTGTCAAGAGTTGAGAGAGAAAACTTGCCAAGTTTTAGTTTTTCTTCCCTAAATCTTGAAAATTATTTCCTGTTTATATGATGCGTATTTATATGATTGGCGGTATTTGGTAACTAATAATTTGGTAACTAACATTTTGGTTACCAACAATTTGGTAACCAACAATTTGGTAACTACTAAATTGGTAACTAACAATTTGGTAACTAAAAATTTGGTAACTAATATTTTGGTAACTAATATTTTGGTAACTAACAATTTGGTAACTAATAATTTTGTAACCTCAAACTTTTGGTAACTTATAATTTGGTAACTAACATTTTGGTAACTAACAATTTGGTAACTAATAATTTGGTAACCTCACAATTTGGTAACTAACAATTCGGTAACTTGACAATTTCGTAACCTTTCAATTTGGTAACTAACTATTTGGTAACTAACTATTTGGTAACTTGAAAATTTGGCAACTTGAAAATTTGGCAACTTGTCAATTTGGTGACTAATAATTTGGTAACCTCACAATTTGGTAGCTAACAATTTGGTTACCTGACAATTTGGTTTACAATAAAATTCTAAAAGCAGGATTATTCAAAGCTTTATGGTTCACCAGGTTTATTAAACTTTCATACATCATTTGCTTCTTTAACATATGATTACATTTAAACTACATGCTTATGAGGAAATAAGCGCATTAACTGCATCCAGGTACTCCGCTACAGTTGATTCATCCTATTTGGAGCAAATGTTATTGAGCTGTCTCATTCGCTCAGTCTGGGTTTGTTTCTGCAGCTGTTGTTGGACTGGTGGATATTACTCAGATATTCTGCATCCGTAAACTCTAGCATCTTTCGGGAAGCATTTAATCACACTCCAAACCGTGGCATTCTTTGGAAGACTGGGAACCCAAGATGAATTTAAAACTTCATTTCCATTGTTGGTCAGAACAAAATCTTCAACAACAAGTTGATCAAACTTATTCCACTTGGCGATAGCCCATGTAGGTTTCTCCTATCCCGAATCCTTTCTTCAGCAACAAATAAATATACGAACAATGATTTAAAAAACTTAAGTTTCAATTATAAAAATTGTTAGTTACTAAATTGTCGGTTACCAAATTGTCGCTTACCAAATTGCCGGTTACCAAATTTTTAGATATCAATTTATTTGTTACCAAATTTTAGTTAACAAATTGTTAGTTACCAAAATGTTAGTTACCATACTATTAGTTACCCAAAAATCCGCCCATCCTGCATCTATTTTTTTACTTTACTTAATTATTGGTTTGTTTGTATCCAATAAACGGCTGAATCGATCGGGCCCAGCATTTTTGTGGCAACTCACTTGGCCCCAGGAAAGGGTTATTGTATGTTAAGAATTGCAAAAATTGTCTCTCCTAAATTTAGAGTTTTGTAAAATTTGCAACATCCACGAAAAAAACATGAAGAAATCTGCGAACTTGTTTGTTATTGTTTTATATTACTCACATTGCATATTCAGGACTACTGGTGACAGTTATACTAGTTGTGATGAGGTATAGGCACAGGAAGAGAATGGCAGAACTGAATGCAGTTGATCTGGATTATCAAGACGAGATGGTCGGACTCAGAGCTCAGGCAGCAGGAGATTCTACACTCCGGTAGTAACCAGATTATCTTCTATCCTTGTTTTTTTCAGGAGTTTCTTCTATCCATGATTTTTTAAGGAGTTAATCTTCTCTCAATGGTTTTTAAGGAGTTTATCTTCTATCCATGGTTTGCTTTAAAAAGTTTATCTTCTATTTATGTTTTTTAAGGAGTTTATCTTCTTTCCATGATTTTTTAAGGAGTTTATCTTCTATCCTTGGGTTTCTCAAGAAGTTTATCTTATAAAAAGGTCGTGTAATTTTAGTGGGTTTAGAAAAGTTTAATTGATCAATATGTAGCTTCAGCTTGATTGAAAAAAGGAAAGATATTTCTTTTTAATTAAAGCTGCATTGAGACGAGAGCATGAAGCTGTTTTATATTCTGCAGATCTTGCTACTTCTTTGTATTTTTCTAGGATTTAGTACTTATCACAGTTCTAGCGAAATGTATTCATTCTAAAGAAAGATTTTTGTTAATCATTTTCCATTACTCTGGATTTGGTAAACCACTTAAGTAAACCACTTCAGTTCTAGGTAGTAATTTTTGATCGAAAAAATGAAAGGTTCATTTTTTGATGCTCACAAATTCCTGAGAAACATAACCATTTTACATAATAGTATATTATGCATAGGAAGAAAATGTGATAGTCAAAATTATTGTTATAATATTCAAAGAAAAACCGTGGAATAATTTTGATTATTCACCGAAAGGCGCACTTACTTCCTACGCATAATCAAATCAAATCAAATCATTTATTACACGAAGATTAAAATTTATACAATATAAATATCACATAGAAAAGTATAATCCTCGTGAGGGAAAATTAAATCCGACAAGAATGTGGTATAATAAATATTACTGTAGGAATAATTCCAATTCTTTTAATTTTGTTAAGTTCAAAAACGATTAAAAGGTGTGCAAGGAATTCGATGGATATATGGTAATATAGTAAAAGATGGGAGGGGGGGGGAGGGGTGTCTTCAAAATATTTGCCTCCATTTAGGGATCGAACAAAGTAAAAGCAGTAATATATTTTCTTGTTTCCTTATTATCTAAAAGCTTGATGAGAGATTTCAAGGAGAAATAATAATTAACACTAAGATGGAAAATAGCTATTGAGACATGAACAAGGCTTTTTACCGTTTTAAACGTATTAAAAAAATGTCAGCTAAGTCATTCATTATTTTAAAAGAATAAAATTTGGCGGTAATAAATATTTTACCTTAGGAGAAAAAAAAATATTTTTAAGCTTAGATTACAAGCAAAATTAGATGTAATCTAAAAGATAATTCACCGAGGTAGGGTCAAACGACCAAGGGTCAAATGCCATAGGGTCAAACGATAAATGGTTAAACACGCGACATAAGGTAAAACGATTTATGTTCATTAGAACTAGTAGCCGCAGCGCTCGGCCCCCTAGCCTGTCCTAGCCGCAGCGCTCGGCTCAGAAATAGTCTTAATCCGACCTAACCCTAAAATAATACATAACCTATTTTTTCCCCAATTTGACACTTTGTCGTTTTACCTTTTGTCACGTGTTTGACCGTTTGTCTTTTGACCTTATATCGTTTTACCCTAGGTCGTTTGACCCAATGTTGTTTGACCCAAAGTCGTCTGACCCTATGATGGTGAACAAATAAGATTGCAAGCAAAATTAGTTACACTTAAAGGTTTCGTAAAGGGCATCAATGCTTGCAAAATTAAGTTCCATTTTGTTCCCGCCTAAGATTTGGATTTTATTTTTTGATGAAAATATTATTCAAATATTAGTTCATTAAGTAATGCTTGTGTATGAAACAGTGTTAAGCATTCTTTTATTATTGTTTTTAGGGAAATATTTGATCATTCTATGACGTCTGGTTCAGGCTCTGGTCTTCCATTCCTGGTACAGAGAACATTAGCTAAGCAGGTTAGTGTTATTAGNATGATAAAATTGGAAAAATAGACTAAAAATTTGGTTAGTAATATCAAAATTTTAGGAGACATTTGGCAAATTCACATTCGAACCATTTATCATAAGTATTATTATTCTCTATTATCGTTTATAAATAGACTTAACGTTAAAAATTCCGAAACATACCGGACATACTTAACTTACTTTTTCATAAATTACCATGAATTGGGCAACCTTGGAAAATGTTATTTAAAATTCCTGTCAAGTTATTTACTTTACAGGCATGAATTTTTTCCTGGGGGGTGGAGGGGGTGCTTAAATATGTTTGATATTCCTGGGGGAAGAGATTGCCCTTATTCCCGGCCCTTTTGTGATATGGACTGGATTAGAATACTAATTTTAAGAGGGTTTATCTTTGAAAATAGTTATTTCAATTTCAAAATGAATTCAAGCAGTCTTCATATTTTAAGATAACCACAGTTTAGATGTGTACTTATCATTGTGTTTTGTTAGGAAAAAAATAGTGTTAAGGATTCGGATTCGTTATATCCTCAACATATTGGCTTCCTGGATCAGGATCTAGATCCAAGGGGCAAAATATCGACCAAAAACTGCAAAGAAAAATCTGTTGTTCTCAAACCCAGAATCTGAACTATTAAACAAAAAGACTATCAAAAATGTCCTTGCCTCTGAATGGCTCATAAAATTTTAATGAAAAAAAACTTGAAAATTCCTCTTTGTGAAAAAAAAATCAGTAAATGTTAAAGAAATGTTTATGACCTGGATCCAGATCCATTTTTTCTAGTGCGGATCCAGGATCATGATCCATATTAAAAATAAATGGATGCTAAACACTGCAAAATAAAACGTGAATGCATAGGTTGGATTGCGTGAATGTATCGGGAAGGGTCGGTATGGTGAGGTGTGGCGAGGAATATGGCACGGAGAAAGTATAGCTGTTAAAATATTCTTCTCGAGAGACGAAGCTTCGTGGATTCGGGAGACTGAGATCTATAGTACAACACTACTTAGGTTTGAACACATTTTTACTTAATGGGAGTGAAGTCGTAACTTCACTTGACCTTCCATAGATTGTCTGATTCACAACAGTACTCTTTAAACTGTTTTTCTTTATTAACAAATTGTTGAATTCTAACAGTTTCCTCCATCGTCTTGGTGGCTGTTAATACGCAAATTACTTTAACAGACATAACAATTTAAAAAAAAATACAATTTTCATAGAGAAATAGTATGATATCTCAAAAATATTTGATAAACCGGGTACCATTGTGAATCAAACATTCCATGAAAAGTTATCATTGCAGTTTACAATGAAACTTTTTTTTTACTAGGTAGACAAATTAAACGTTATATTTGGTCTTTATTTAATGGTCACATTTATTAGAACGCACTTTTTTCAGACAAAAAGCATTTAAAAAAATAAATATTTTGCTAGATTATGTTTTTTTAATGATAAAAACCTGATGAACCGTTAACGCGTTGATATTTCAGACACGAGAATATTCTTGGATATATTGGTTCTGATTGTACAAGTAGAAACTCCTGTACTCAGCTCTGGTTGGTGACTCACTACCATCCACTGGGTTCTCTTTATGATCATCTCAACAGAACTGCGCTTACTAAGATGGAAACTATCAAGTAAAATATTTTTATTGACATGAATTTTTTTTTTCGGGGTAGAGGTGTAATTCTTGAAATTTCTTGCAATTTCTCGAAAAAGATTATCTGAACAAGCATGATTTTCCTAGGATTTTGATATCATGTATAACTGGACTGGTTCATCTGCATACAGAGATATTTGGAACCCAAGGCAAACCAGCAATTGCTCACAGGTATTATTTCAAATATTTAAAGGTCCTATTGGCCTTTTTGAAGGTGGCCCCCAATTTTTAATCATTGTATCTCATTGGTACCCTTCTGTCCCTATTGTTCTAAATTTACTGTCCAGTGTCCAAACCTTTTTAATGCATTTTAATTTCACCTTTAATCGTTTATCGGCTAAACTTAACAATAACATTCGCAATTTCTTTATTTCTTAATTTTTTTTGAGGGGGGGGTAGGAAGGGGGTGGCTGGGAGCTACAGGCTATTCTTCACTACACATTTTTACATTTAGAATTTTTGTAATAATTGTTAATTTTATTGTTATGTAGGGATCATGTGGCTATTCTTCACTACACATTTTTATATTTAAAATTTTTGTAACAATTGTTAGTTTTATTGTTATGTAGGGATATTAAGTCGAAGAATATATTGGTTCGCGCAGATGGATCATGTGTTATTGCAGACTTCGGGCTTGCGGTCACACACACACAGGTAGAATTTATGATACGGGCACACACATACACGGCCCTGGTAGATTATAAAACGGTCACGCACACACAGGTAGAATTAATAATACGGTCACGCATGCACAGGTAGAGTTTATAATTTGGTCACATATACACAGCTAGAGTTTATATTACGGTCACACATACACAGGTACATTTTATAATACGGTTACGCATACACAGGTAGAGTTTATAATTTGGTCACACATTCACAGGTAGATTTTATAATACGGTAAACATACTCAGGTAGAGTTTATAATACGGTCACGCATGCTCATGTAGATTTTATAATTTGGTTACATATACACAGGTGAAGTGTATAATACAATCATAGATATACAGGTAGATTTTATAATACGATCACACATACACAAGTATAGTTAATAATACGTTTAATGTTCACACATAATTTTAGGTTTTTTAAGTAAAAAAAATTATGATTTGTTTAAATGTTATTGTATCCTCCTAAACTTGTCATGGAACGAATAATGTCCGCAAATTATAATTAATTGCGAGCTTTTTGTACTTTCTAAATCTGTTTTTATCTTTTTAACAAGTAAATAAATGCCATCTTTGTTGATGCATAACACATTATTTCTTTTATATCTCAATTTGAAACTATAGATAGTGAAGTGAGATATTACTTCTAAAGTTAATTTTACGACCTACAAGGTTATCTTAAAATGTTAAGTAGTAAAAAAAGTAATTTGTAAGAAAGATTAAAGATTTGTAGACAAACATGGTAACCTTGAAAGCTTTATGTTTTAACCTTGCTTTAAGCACTAAGGGTTCATATCAATCTTGGAATTGTTTTAAAATTATTGAATCCTTGTTGTAAATCCAAGAGAGATCAGGATCCATTAGATTAGATCCATTAGATCCAAACATCTAAGAAATGTGCGAGATGATTAATCGCCTGATTGGTTTATTTATTGTGTGTTATTATATGTAGTTGGTTCATTGATTGGTTGAATTATTTATTGATTGATCATAGTAAAACTAATTATAAATTTGTTTGACTATTTGATTCTTTGTTTGGTTGATTTGATTGACTATTATTTTTTACTGATTGGTTTGATTGATTGGTCATGTTAATGTTAGGCTACGGGAGAAACTGATTGATTGATTTATCATATTAATGTTAGGATACGGGAAAATTATCATATTTATGTTAGGCTAGGGGAGAAAATGATTTATTTATCATATTTATGTTAGGCTACGGGAGAAACTGATCGATTGATTTATCATAGTAATGTTAGGATACGGGAGAAACTGATTTATGTATCTTATGTTAGGCTAGGGGAGAAACTGATTTATTTATCATAATTATGTTAGGCTACGGGAGAAACGAATATTCCCCAGAATCCCAGAGTAGGCACTAAACGCTACATGAGCCCAGAAATATTGGATATGAGGTAATATCATAGTTTTGTGGTATTTATACTTATATTTATACTTATCATCATTTTTCGTCATTATTATTTTTTTTGGAGGGGGGGGGGGGGCTAAATTCTTGAAAAGATATGGCTAAAGTAGATTTGTTGGAAATTGTTCTGAAATTGATTCGTAGTTATTAAATGGAAAACATTTTATAAAACGTAAAATCTTCATTTTCGGAATCATATTTTTATCTTTTTAAGAATTGAAAATATCTAGCAAATTGAATTTTTTTTATAATCAAGGTCGGGCTTAATGTTGGGCAAAATTTTTAATTCGTTTTTTGAAGCAGTTAAGTTTTATTTTGGCTGTTTAGAAGAGGCTTCTTAAAGTTTAAAGTTGTAAGTTCTAAACTTCTAATTATGCAAAATGTTAACTCTCACGGAAGATGGACGCTTAAACGATTGTTTTTTGTATTTTTTGTTTGTTTAAAAAGCATGATTTTATTTATGACAATTTTCTTGTTATTTTTAGTATGAATATGCAACTGTTTGAATCTTTCCGTCGGGTGGACGTGTACGCATTTGCGTTGGTTATGTGGGAGACGACAAGAAGATGTATGACGCACGAAGGAGTTGAAGAATACGCTCTTCCATATTATGAAATGGTGAGTTTTGTCATATTTTATTTAGGTTTTATTCTCAGCAGTTTTGGAAAGCTGAAGGTGATTATTGCTTTTATATGGCTCATTACATTAAAGGTGTTTTTCACCGATCTATTAAAAACAAGAATTAGGTAAACAAAAGCCAATGTTAACGCTACGTTTTTAGTTTCTATTTGTATATTCTTTTTTCCCACCCAGTCAATCCTCAATTAAGCTTTTGGTGGGTTCAGCGGAATCTCTGAACCGAATATATAGTAGCATTTAATGGAAAGTAAGTTATGCATTATCATTTATCAATTCAAGCAAAAACATAAAAAGTACACGATGTATCCACGAGTTCTTTGATCTATACAAACATTTGTATTTGTACTTAGTATTGTATGTACTGTACTGTAGGTACTCCCTGACCCTGGGTTTGAGGATATGAGGAAGGTCGTCTGTATTGATGGATTCAGACCACAGGTTCCCCAGCGGTGGGAAGATGATCCGGTAATAATCTTTATCTTACCATAGGCCGAATTTGGAGAATTTGAGCCGCGTCTCAAATTTGAATCGAGTATTTAGAGAATTTGAGTTGGCGCTCAATTGGAACCGGTTTTTGGCGGTTCAGCGGTTTAAATTCTTAAAATTCGGCCTGGGTAGTCTTAGAATCAGGGACATACTCAGAATTTTGTCAGGGGTATGCCTGAACATTTTCTTTCCGGGGGGGGGGGAGACTCAACACCATATACACCCCTGAAAACCTTAGATTTAATCGATCCTGGGAGAAGCTAGTGCCCCCCCCCCCCTTGAGTAATGAGTATGCCTTAGAATCCATATCCGGATTCTCTGAGAATACCAGGGACCAGATTTAGTAAATAGCCAAACTTAGTTTAACCTTGTAGACCCGGCGCAAAAGAGAACAAAACTTCTACGCAGTTCAATTATGTGTCGCTAGTAATTCAATCTGGTACCAGATGTGCTAAAATGCGAGGATCCTTTATCAGGATCCAGATTGAAAATATCTAGCAAATTTAAAAAGCAAATGGAATTTTTTTATAATCAAGGTCGGGCTTAATGTTGAGCAATATTTTGAATTCGTTTTTTGAAGCAGTTAAGTTTTATTTTGGCTTTTTAGAAGAGGCTCTCTTAGTTTAAAGTTGTAAGTTCTAGACTTCTAATTATGCAAAATGTTAACTCTCACGGAAGATGGACGCTTAAACGATTGTTTTTTGTATTTTTTGTTTTGTTTAAAGGCATCAAAAGCATTATATAATTTAAGTCGATACTGTCGAGTGTCGAGTTACGGGTGACGGGTGACGGGTGACGGGTGACGGGTGACGGGTGACTAGTGACGAGTGACGAGAGACGAGTTACGAGTTACGAGTGTCGAATGTCGAGTTTCTGGTTACGACTATTGTTTAGTGGTATTCCGATTAACAAACAACCTTTGTCTGACAAAATATGATGAAGATTTTCTAGTTTTTCTATCTAGAAGTGTATAATGTGGTTTCTCCAAAAATGATGAAGATATTCTAGTTTTTCTATCTAGAGGTTGGCAATGTGGTTTCTCCAAAAATGATGAAGATATCCTAGTTTATCTAGATGTTGACAATGTGGTTTCTCCAAAAGTGACTTTATTTTTTCAAAAGAGGCTTATTCAAATCTACAGAATTGAACACGTTTTAAGGGCACTGTTGTACATCGGCCACGCAACTCTTTAAAAGGAATTCTCTTTAGATTTAAGGATTGGAGTCTTTGTCTGAAATTATGATTTTCTAATCCCTATATCTTGGCAACTTGATGGTGACAATCTTTGATATTCAAAACTTATGATTATTTTCTCTCACAGAATTCATAGTTTGAAATGTGCAAGGTCTACGACATTATGTTGCAAAGATATAGGGATTTGAAAATCAGAGTTTGTGTCAAGAACTAGATGTATTGATAGAGAACAAAATATACAAGACCAAGTAGAGAGCCGAAAATTCTAGAATATAAAAACGAATGAAATAGCTTGACCCTTTGATTATACCGTAGGTTCTGGCTGGTTTAGCTCGGCTCATGAAGGAATGTTGGCATGAGAATTCAAATGTTCGACTCCCAGCTCTTAGGATCAAGAAGTCTCTGATCAAGATTGCCTGCTTGGAACCAAAGCTTGGTGTTATGGTTCAGGAGTGATCAATTACCGCCATTTTATAAAATTTGCAGTTTTTTTGCGAATCTCAATAATTTTTTTAGTTTAATTTGGGCAACTGTTGTCAAAATGGTTNAAGAATCTGGTAAATTATGGATCAGATCAAATATTTATTTTTTATTTTTTTAAATACTATTTCGGACTCTTTGCAATAAGAAAAAAGTTACTTTTGCCCCGAAAAAGTCGATAAGTTTTCCCGACTCCCTCTAAATATTTCTAGGGTTAATTATAAATTATGAAATGTCCATCTGGGGGTTTTTACCTTTGCATATACCGTGTAATATTTTTGTCTTGGCACTGATTATACAATCAAGAGTACAATAATATAATTTAACTATGTACAGTACTGTAGCTAACGTATCATCAAATATTCGTACAAAAAAATGTAATCCTGAAGATTGTTTTGATCTTCACTTATATATTAAAATTGTGGTATTTTCCAGAGATTATTGCCACTGACTCTTATTTTTCAATTTCTTTGTCTTTGCTACCAAATATCGTATACCTTCGATATTTCAAATCTTACAGTCTGTTAGATAAAAAATTTAAGTTTAAAATATCAAAGGTTGACATCATCAGGTTTCAAAGATATAGGGATTAGACAATTTGTTTTACCGACTTAACTTAATAAAAAGAATCAACTTATATTCTGTTAGTTTATTTTCAAAATAAAATTGTAAGACAAAATTTAAATTTTTTATTCGTTCCAATGTTGAATAGATCGAATTGAAATTGTATGCAAAAATTGTCATAAAATTCTGCTTTTTCGAATGAATATTTTTCTTCAAATTTGTTAAATAATTGGATTCTCGTCTATTTATTGAAAACTCTGGACAATCCCTTTACTGTGGCCTTAGAAATGTTCGTTGAAAACGTCCAAATGTGAATCTAAACCGGCCATTTTTTAATCAGCAAAGTTGCTAAACAAGCTTTAATATATTTGTACATGAAGTTTATATTTTTTTCTAGTTATTAATTTGTTAACGTTTTCGTTGTGCCATCAAATCATCTACAAATAACAATAAAATATAAATAAATGACTTTTCTCAGAAAATTGTGTAGTTATTGAAAAATTTCAGATTTAAATCGATTCAAAACTAATTTTTACCCTTCTGGTGCCAGGACAAAGCTCACTAACTTTAGTATAACGGGATAAGCTACATGTAAAATTGAGTGTCCGAATTTAATGAATTTGAGCCTGGGCTCTGCCAAATACTAGTTTCAATTGATCGCCGGCTTAAATCTTGAAAGAATGAATACAATTTTAAGTGGAAGCACTTTTCGAAATGTCTTCTTTAAACAAATTTAAGCCGCTGCTCTAATTCTTTAAATTCGGTCCCAGGACGATAATTTTACTATTTGTAATAGTGTTAATAATGGTAATTAGGATTACAGGATCAACGCCATTAAATATTTGTAGGTTTTCATCCCAAGAATTCCTAAAATATGTGGAATTTGGGAGTGCTAGTTCTAAAATTTGTTCTAAATATCATTTAAATTCTTTATGGTACTAATAATAAATATTTGGTATTCATAAAACGTGTTATTATACGCATAATTTTTTCGGAATTATTAATGTTTTTGAAATTCTAACAAAAAATATTATTTCGACGGATAGATGGTTGATCGATTATGATTATCATTGTTATTATCATTATTTTTATTACTATCACTCACTATCAATATTACTAAAACTATTTTCGCCGGGGGTCGAAAATCGCATTGTTTCATGGCTGGATCACTTATTTACAATACGATTTTTTTATAATTTTCATTAGTCGGCTAAATAACCTTTTTTCGACCTCGGCTCAATTTTATAAGTTTTTTTTAACACCGGCCGTCCTTTAATACAAGAAGTTAAAAACCATTTGCTTTGTAGGGTAAAATTTCTGTTGTAGCGTTATAGAAACTTAACCTGAACCTCTTATATGTACAATCATTTATTCACAACATTAACATCTTATTAACACATTTTTCTAGTTTTTTATATTTTTAACTAATTTAGTTAGCAATATTGAGAACATTTCATTTTTCAAATAAAGAAATATTAACATCAATTAAAACCAATTTTTCATAATACAATTTTTTATTGAAGTATATGGTAGGGCCCGGCAACTGTAAACACAAATAAAAAATGAATTACAAAATGTCAAATAATACTGTCTAATATTAGCATTTTTCCAGGCAAATCTTTACTACCGACATTATTCTAATTTTCTTGAGTCATGAATGGAATCGGATTTGTAAAACAAACAGATATTTTGCAAAAAGTGTCTTTTTCAGAAAGTATAAAAACTTTGCAAAAATGAAAAATGTAAACAGTTAATTTCCACATTAAGGGACTTGTCCAGGTACTGAAGTTTAGGACAGTGTGATTCAAAAAAAAGGGATTATCGTTGTTTTACAAAAAATCTTCAAAAAATGTTGTTTGCTTCGGATTTTATGTGTGAAAAGCTAAAATGTAACAAAACACAACGCCCAATAACAAAACGGCAAAAAAAAGACTCCCTTTGCAACAAAAGGCCCGAAATCTCAAAAAACCGCCCAAATTCCGAAAAACTAAGAAATACTTGGAAGTTAAAAGGTGTGTGTATTATTTCAGGTTGGTTAAGACAGTTTCGTTGTAATATTTTTCTTAAAAGTGTTCATGCCAACATAGTCATTTCTCCAGTGTTCAGCAATTGCCGTAGACAAGAAAAAATATTTTTAGTATTCCCAAATCAAAGAGAATATATTTATTTTCATAACTCAAGATGTAACTTGAACACTGAAGGTGCTATAAAGGCGCCAAGTATTCTCTTTAAAATGAAAGTTTAGATGAGATGTATTTGAACTTCTTGCCGCAGCTCGAGACTCGAGAAAACGACCTTTGAGGAACTTCAACAGAAAAGTTGCGAATTTTCTTGAAAAAAAACATTACCGTCTTTTTTTTCACATAAAAAGTGGACTTTTTGTAACATTGGACGTTTTTTACTTGGGCGTTATGTAAGATTGGGCGTTTTGTACTTGGGCGTTATGTAAGATTGGGCGTTTTGTACTTGGGCGTTATGTAAGATTGGGCGTTTTGTACTTGGGCGTTATGTAAGATTGGACGTTTTGTAGCATTGGGCTTTTTGTAATTGGGCGTTTTGTTGCATTAGGCGTTTTTTGGGCTTTTTGTACCAACTCCAAAGCGACAAATCTGCGAAACCAATTTTTTTTAGAAAAAATTTATTTTCTTTAAAAATTGACGAGAAAATGTTTATCATATTATTTTATATTATCACGGTTCCTAAATTTTTAACGATCAATATCATTGGGTCATTTTAACCGAAGAAGCATATATATATAAACAAAATATAAACAGTATTTAAGAATTAAACAAAAAATATGCGCAGTCCCTTCCCCTTTAAACGGTTGGTTTTATGCAAGTGTATTATTAGAATATCTATTCAGAGTCTAATGATAATTGAGATTCCTGATTAGCCATGCAAGCAATCTAATGCTCTATTGGAGGAGTGTTACCAGGGGCTGACTAAACCATTATCTAAGAGGGGGGGGGGGCATGAATTAGCGCGTAAGAAAATTTTTTGGGCCCCCTCCCCTTAAAATAGAACAAAAAGCAGTAAATTACTTTTTCTTATTTGCTCAAACAATTTAAGTTTTCAAACTCATGTTCTCCCACTTTCTATCATTAAACTCATGTTCTCCCACTTTCTATCATTAAACTCATGTTCTCCCACTTTCTATCATTAAACTCATGTTCTCCCATTTTTTATCTATAAACTCATGTTCTCCTACTTTCTATCTGTAAACTCTAGTTCTCCTACTTTCTATCTGTAAACTCTAGTTATATCCTACTTTCTGTCTGTAAACTCTAGTTCTCCCACTTTCTATCTGTAAATTCATGTTCTCCCACTTTCTATCTGTAAACTCTAGTTGTTTCCTACTTTCTATCTATAAACTCTAGTTCTCCCACTTTCTACCTGTAAACTCATGTTCTCCCACTTTCTATCTGTAAACTCTAGTTCTCCTACTTTCTATCTGTAAAATCTAGTTCTTTCCTACTTTCTATCTGTAAACGCTGGTTCTCCTACTTTCTATCTGTAAACTTAAGGTCTCATACTTTCTATATGTAAAATCTAGTTCTTTCCTACTTCCTACTGTAAACTTTAGTTCTCCTACGTTATATCTGTACAATCTAGTTCTATCCAACTTTCTGTCTGTAAACTCTTGTTCTCCTACTTTCTATCTTTAAACTCTAGTTTTCATTCTGTCTATCTGTAGACTCCAGATCTCCTACTTTCTATTTGTAAACTCCAGTTTTCATACTCTCTATCTGTAATGCCAGTTCTCCTACGTTCTATCTGTAAACTTTAGTTCTCCTACTTTCTTTCTGTAAAATCTAGTTATATCCTACTTGTTGTCTGTAAACTCTTGTTCTCCTACTTTCTATCTGTAAACTCTAGTTCTCATTCTGTCTATCTGTAGACTCCAGATCTCCTACTTTCTATCTGTAAACTCCAGTTTTCATTCTCTCTATCTGTAATGCCCGTTCTCCTACGTTCTATCTGTAAACTTTAGTTCTCCTACTTTTTTTCTGTAAAATCTAGTTATATCCTACTTGTTGTCTGTAAACTCTAATTCTCCTACTTTCAAACTGTAAACTCCAGTTTTCATACTCTCTATCTGTAAAAACCAGTTCTCCTACTTTCTATCTGTAAACTCCAGTTCTTCTATCTGTAATTTTACAGGTATATTAGTATAAATAATAAGATGAGAAAACAATTTTAACGGGTATTTCAGGTCATTTATTCAATTCTATTTTCGTTGTGTCTTTCATCCCTTGATGTTTTATTTCATATTTTCTTTGTGGGATGGGACCGGCCCTCCCCCCCCCCCCCCCAGGAGCTCAGGGTGGGGCCGTAGTTCGCCCCTGAGTATTACAAGCTGATACAAAGAGTCCCAATAAAAAAATATAAAATCTAAATATATATACTTTGCTTGTCCGCCTGTTTGTTTGTTCTTAACCGATAAACGTTCCCACATTTTTTGTGGGACCTCGCACGTTTATGGATGCTCATAATTGCAATATTTGTCTCCAAAAATTCGACCTAGTCATGAAAATTAATGCAATTAATATTTGTGTATTATTGCAATTTGGATTTATGTAACATTTCTCAACTTGCTTTGCATTTTTTTACTTTCAAAATAAATTGTTTCACATTTTTTGAACAATCCCATGAATATATGATTCTGATTATCAAAATCGTCTCCGTGCCTCCTGCTACGTCTACCAGGCTAACGGTGCTATGGAAACGCCTCAACACGGAAACGTCTCAACGCGGAAATGCCTCAAAAACCGGTTTTGAGGAATTTCCGTTTTTTTTATTTTTAATAAAATTTTTAAACTTTATTTGTTGAGGCATTTCCTCTTCTTCCGTTTGTTAAAAAAACTTAGTTCCTTTCTTTAAAAATCTTTCCCCCTTTCCAAAATAATTAATCTCCTCCCAGAAATTAAACACCATGAGGTTTCAAAGAAATAGGGATTATAAAAAATGAGAAAAACAATTTATAGGGTTTTAAGGGTTTTAATTGCTGAATTTTTGGGTAAAAACGGAAACGCCTCAAAAAAAACTGAAACGCCTCAAAAAAAGAGGAAACGCCTCAACAAAATAAAGTTAAAAACTTTTTTCAAAAAACGGAAACGCCTCAAAAAAACGGAAACGCCTCAAAAAAAGAGGAAACGCCTCAACAAAATAAAGTTTTAAAACTTTTTTCAAAAAACGGAAACGCCTCAAAAAAAACGGAAACGCCTCAAAAAAGTGGAAACACCTCAACTAAATCAAGTTTTTAAAAATACGGAATTGCCTCAAAAATTTTGCGGAAACGCCTAAAAAAAAAGAGGAAACACCTCAACTAAATCAGGTTTTAAAAAATATGGAAACGCCTCAAAAATTTTGCGGAAACGCCTCAAAAAAAAGAGGAAACACCTCAACTAAATCAAGTTTTTAAAATACGGAAACGCCTCAAAAATTTTGCGGAAATGCCTCAAAAATATTGGGAAATTCCTCAAAAATAATTGACAGGTGAAAAGCGGAAACCCCTCAAAAATTTTAGGAAACGCCTCAAAATAAAGAGGAAACCCCTCAAAAACTGGGTTTTGAGGGATTTCCGTTTTTCTTGCAGAAATTGCGGAAACTTCTCAAAAAAAAACGGTTTTTGAGGGGTTTCCGCTTTTTTTGAGGTATTTCCGTGTTGAGACGTTTCCGTGTTGAGGCGTTTCCATAGCACCAGGCTAACCAACTCTGCCTCCACGTCTAGTAATTTGATATCCAATAACAAATATTTGGCTTTTACATATCAGATTGCTGGACGTTGAGGTTGAGTTTGTGGGCCAGGTGAGGTGCAGACGTAGCATGAGGTACGTATACGATTTTGGTGACTAGGATGCCATTCTGGGAATCAGGAGGCTCCAAAGGTCAGTTTGCGGGGCTCACGGATGCTTTGCACCCCCTCCCTAGTTGAAAGTTAACAAAGATTTTATCTTTAACTCATAGAATTTTCTAACTGTAGAGATAAATACTTGTATTATGTATAATATACCTTTTGTAACAATACATAATTTGATCCAAATTTCAAATCAAATATTCACTTTTATCATTTAAGAAATATTTTGACATTAAAATTTCAAATAAACTAATAAATTTTTCCGAGTTATGTATTGAAACGAAATATGTACCTGATCACGAATTATATTTGAAAAGTATGAGAATTATGATTTTCCAACTTTACGAAAATACAGTTTAAAAAAGATAATATTATCAGTGTCAGGTTTACGGGCCAAATCACAGTTTTTAACGAGTCACGGAAGTTCGTAGTAAGATTTTGATTCCACTGGAGACAACCGGAGGGAAATCTTTTTCACTGGAGGGGTTTGAAAAAATGCTTTTTACAATTCAAAACTTTACGCAGGGTGATTTACATTTCACTGGAGGGATTCAGATGTCCTTCCTGGGGGGTTATAATTCCACTGGAGGGATTCAGTTATCCTTCCTAGGGGTTTATAATTCCACTGGAGGGATTCAGATATC